TAGGGTTTAGGGTTTAGGATAACTATAGCTATAGCCCAAAGTAGGATCCAAATGACCCTAGGTAGAACTGACCATTAGCCTCTGAGTAGACTTGCCTGTTTGGAAGTTCCTGCAGGAAGAATACAGAGCTGAAATAGGGGCCAGTTCCTTGGGATGAATCAGTGATTTTAAGCGGGCTTGGAAGTAGGGCAAAACTAGTTGCAGCTGAACTTCTAGAAAACTGACAAGCCTACTGCTAACTACCCATCCACCTCCAGGCAGTCCAGTTGCGATGTTGCATGCTTACTGGTTGCTAGTAGGAAGCAAGGGAACAAAATCTATATAGAATCTATTCAACCCTTTATTCCCTACAATATTACGCCTATGTTACTCCCATATAGTCCCTATATTATACCCCTANNATTCCTTTACTCCCTACTAACAACCAGTAAGTTTGGGGTTTAGGGGCCATAGAAATCTGACAGATCTCAGAAACTTGAAGCAATAGTCGTCGTATCACAGCTCCAAGATTTGTTACTGGGGTTAAGGCATCATATTATATGGGGATTACATAGGGATTATGGTCCCATATTCCCTACTTACAACCAGTAAGCCAATAGTACGTGCAAACTTCAAATCCTAGAACGTAAGGCTTGTCTTGGCAAGCACTCTACATCAACAACGCACAAGAAATTCAACGGTCTGTTTTGGAGAGCACTCTACATGCCTAAGCCTTAAACCTTGAACCCTAAACCCTAAAGCCTAATGCTAAACCCAACATCCTGAACCCGAACCCTACTAGGATCCTGGGTTGAATCTACTTGGCATGTAGAAATGAGAGTATTGCCGAAAAGAGGTAGACAGGCCGCCGAGATTGTGCCGCCTGGTTTTTGTAAACATGAGGGGTTTGAAATCATGGAAACCAATCCTATTTTTCAGCCATCTCTTAAGCTAAATTTCGCTTTGACCCACTATTTCCTCATGCAGGCATGCACCAGCATCCAAGTTACTTCACCATACACCCTAAACACCTCTAGGCCTAAAGGCCGTACACCATGTGGAAGCCTGAATAATTTCCAGTATCATTCCAAAGCAGCCCGTCGTCAAGTGATCCTTAAGCCTAAAGCCCTGTACCTATCCCCTCACGGCAGACCTGAAAGATGTACAGGTCAAACATGCGCCATCGCCCGATTGGGCTCGGCGTGCAGGCCATAGATTTTGTTTGCCTCCATCTGAAGGTCCAAAGGCCTACGGTGGGATCTTACAGGGTTCATTCCGGGATATGAAGCTGGGCATCTAGGCCTATCAGCAACATTTACTTTGGGCACTTGTAAAGTTTATAGATTGTATCTTCTTTGGGTCTTTTGGAATCATAGAACTTCAGGATTTAGGGCTAGGGTCTAGCTTCTTGACCCCAAACCCTAAGCTCGGTGTATCGTTCTTCAGGGTACAGGGCCAGCGTTTAGTCTTGCAAGATCTTTCCATCTGCTCTTGTTTACACTGTAAACCAGACAGGGCATCCAAGGTTGCATACGTCTACAAACGTGGCCAAGACGTACTATGTTTTAACGATAATGTCTAAATTCTTGCAGTATTCAAGAGGTACTTTTTTTCATAGCCCTCGTAATTGTGGCTGCAGTCTCGAAAAATGAGACCAAACACCTAAGCGTCAAGCCCCAAGCCCTTCACCCTAAACCCTGCTCTCTGCTTAAAGGTTCAAAGGCAGTTCTAAGTAGACCTGTGATTACACTAAACGGGGTCAGAACTGGTTTTGGTTGTAGGTACCCTACTTCTAATTCCAATTATAACTACTCATGACCTTCAAAGGAGGCCCTGGACCCTCTGAAGCAGTATCGCGCTGTAGTCCAAAATAGAATAAGATTATACAGGGGTTTCCCAAAATTAGGGGAACCAGACCATATTCAGGACTATAGCATTTGGGGTCTATATTGGAGATCCCCTATTTTGGGAAACTACCATATTCTCTTTTTGGGCGGGTGCAAGATTTCCTCCATCAACAGTACAGCCGCACTGCGACAGGGCTTGGCAGATGCCTTCTTGATCCTCCGGATGCCCTTCGCAGCTGGTCGGAGATTTGAAGGAAGGCTTTAGGAGTCAGGGTGTAGGGTTGGAAGAGTTTGGGGGTTTAAGGCCCCAAGGAATGTTAGGTCCACCTAAGTCATACACGATCATTGGCATAGCTGGAATGTTCTAAGTACCCAACTTGGCCTCCCAAAAGCCACTTTCATGTCACTGGCAAGGTTCAGGGTCTGGGGTTTAGGGATTTTTCACCCGACAAGAAAAACTCAAGTTATTGCAGTAGTGGTGGCAAGAACGCTGGCCTTCAAAAAGGTAGACCCCGCCTGGAAATCCTAAAACCTAAACCCGTCACACCTCTAAGCCTTAGGCCCCAAACCCTAAACCCTAAAACCCTAAAACCCTGAACCCCTAAACCCTAAACATTTGCTTGTGAAGGAGAGCGATGAGGCCCGGCAGCTGAACGAGGACATCTTCGAAACGTCGCTCGAAGTGCAAGGCCTCAAGCAGCTTTATTCGGCTGACATAGTGGCCACATAGGAAGTTGCGAGGGTTATTAGATTATATAAGAGTTATGGGGAAAATGGAGGCTATGTAGGAGCTTTTTGGGGATTATCCGCTTTTGTTTGGAAAGAGTTTGTATGCGAGGTATGGGTGTCATACAGGTTTTCTTGGGGTTTAGGGCTTAAGGTTTGGGGTTTGGAGTTCGAGGGTGTGGGTGCAGGTAGTATCCAAAATGGGTGACCCCTAAAACGATATCTACACAAACCCTCAACCCTCAAACCTAAACTCTGAATGCCTACAACTTATAGTCCCCCTTGAAGTAGATCGAATATGGGAGTTATCTTGCGATAATGGAGAAGAAAATGGAAACTACTATTCAGGGTTTAGGGTTTAGGGAAGTAGATGGAATATGGCTTTGGGTATATTATAATGAGATCCCCATATACCCTCTATTCTGTCTACTCAAGGGGGCTATAAATCCTACAGCCTCAAACCCTAAACCCTAAACCCTAAACCCTAAACCCTTAATCCCTCCAACCGCAGCCCTCAACTTCCGGGTTCCCCTGTTACCCCCCTCGGGGTTCCCACTTGATTTCCAGCCTTTTAATGGACAATTACGGCGAATTAAGGTCAAAACCCTAAGCCCTCTAAACCCTATATAACCCATGATAGTAGTTTCCATTTTCTTTTCCTTTATCCCCATATAGCCCCAATATGTACCCTAGTATTAGGGGACTCTTGGGGCCTGGTCCCTGGTACATGCTTTAGGTTTTAGGGTTCAGGGTTTTAGGGTTTAGGGCCATCGACAACTGTTTGGAAAGCCAAGGATGTACTTTGCCGCATGCGAGGCGTCCTGTGAGTTGGCAGAGAGGGCGGCTTGGACATTTGTTGGGTCTTCAGGATGTGGGGGTTTTCCAAAAATTAGGGAGTTTTTTTGGGTTCGTCTAATAAGGATCCTAGTAGATTGTGGCGTAAATCGGGGCCCCTGATTTGTGGAAGCCTCCCGAGATGGTGCTTTAAGTGAAGTGTGTATAGTTCCGGGTTTAGGGTCAGGGTTTCAGGTGTTGTAGAAGCCATCCACAGGTAAGTAGTTGTAAGGTGGGAAACTCTAGGCCTAAATCACTAGTACTCATGAATGAGGGCTTCTATGAGAGGCCCCTACACGTCGTGGCACCGATGAAGCCCTTCAAGGTAAACCCAGCTCTGAATCTGCATTTTGTAGAGCACCATAGAACCCAATTAGGACCTACATAGATCCCAGTGAAGGGTAGTTGGGGGGTCCTGTTTATCCCTAAGGCCTAAGCCCCAGCCACATCAAACCCAGCACAGGCCCCTTGGACGATATTCCTTTTGGGATCTTATAGTCCACAATAAGTTGGTTTACAGGCACATCTTTTGGGGCTATTTAAGGCTTGTATTATTTTTGAGTCTAGATTGGGGCTCCTTGTTTTTGGAGATTGCCATAGCCAGCAAGATCATATCCACCTGTTGGGAATAGTATTCCAGAAGAGGAAAATACTTTTACTAACCCCTAGGCCTTAAGCCCTAAACCCACCCAAAACCGCAACTCAGCTCAGGATGGGCCCTATGAGACCTTCCAGGGCTCTCCAGCAAGCCGAGGATTCTTATAGGGGTTGTTAAGGGGGATTCTATAGGGGATTATATTTGAGCTATAGTGTAGACTCCTTCAAAGGGGATTTTCCCGGGGATTATTTCGGGGACTACTATAGGGTTTATTAAGGGGAATACTAGGCGTTCAGACAATGGCTCATTGTGCTCGGGTTTCGGGCTCCACGGGTAGTTAGAAGCTTGAGTTCTAAGATCGTCGATGAGTTGGCCGTCGCTTTCCTGTTGAGGGTAGTTGTCCGAACACTGTGCGGTACACTCTGCCTGGACCTCAAAGTGTGGTTTGAGGATCTAGGGCTTTGATGTTGAAGGTTCTTAGGGGTTGGCGTTTTCAGGTTTCGATTTAGAGTCAACCCTGTACTGGTTCATGTCTCCATTGCTCGAAGCTGGTTGTGACACAGACATCGAAGCATACGTGAGAGGAGGTGGGTCCGTGTGATGGAGCTTGCTTTGCACCCGTGGGAAGATCTAAAATTAGATCTCCTATATAGACCCATTCTAACCTCTATATAATTCCTATATACCTTCCCATATGGTTCTAGGAGATCTACTTTTTTTAGTCCGAAATTTGGCCAGCAAGCCTTTGCTCGACCAACAAAAGACGGTTCTCCTTGCCAGCTTCAGGTTCAAGAGCATACCCTATGTGTGCTACAGTCTAAACTCCTTTAGGGGGGTTAATATAGGGGACTATATAGGGGACTACTACAATGGT